TGTTTCTCTCTTTGACTCTCTTTGAAAACCAGGCGGCTTACTCCGGAACAGAGAGGGAACCTACTAGGTTGTCATGCAGAGAACCGTGCGCCTGTGCTCGAACAACATTTTCAAGCGTTTGTCCAACCTGTAGGTGCTCTTATCATACCGAGAGCCCAATCCACAAGGTACTGCGCGCTGCCTCGTTAAAGAAACCCCAAAGCCACAAGTTCTTCGTATCTCCCAGTTCACGGAATGATTAATCAACGGAGCTCGTTTTTCCCCATCCCGTTCCTCCCCCCCCCCCCACAAAAACATAATTAATTTGAAGACTCATAGACCCACTGCTTAGAAGGGGACGGCAGGATAACAGAACGGATGGTTAACGAGGACATGTCCCCGACGCCAAGGGGACGGAATACCATTTGCAGTATATTTCACCACCACCCCCATTTAGCCATATTCTGGGAAAGTTACTCAGGGAATATTTCAGGATTGTAGCTTCAATTACATGTCTCCACATGTTGAGATTCTCTTTTCATTAACGATGCGGGGGCATCCTTCTGTGCGTAGAAAGAAATACGGATAGAACTAAAACGGGGGGAGGAATAATCATTGTGGTAGCAAGTTACAATGTGAGGCATGAAAGTAATTTTAATAACACTTTCCACTCAAGGATCTCGGCTTCTTTGAGAGAGAGGGAAATATTCCTCTTTTGGAACAAGGAAATGTTGCAGGGAAACATTAAGAAAATGACCACAATGTTTCAAATGCTAAGTTACAAAAAACAATGCTCTTATAAATTTCATTATCAGAAAGGAAAGGAAAACAAACCCCAAATATTCATGTATTTCTAAATGAAAATTTAAGAAATATTTTGATTACTAGACCCTGGTTGTTTGTTGGTTTAAAAAAACTTTTTACCCCCTGTAATAGAATATTATTTATTAAGTTAAGCAAGATATTAAAAGTATTAGGTTTGTAGCTGTCATTATTTGAGACAACTCTACTACAACCATAGATACATTGATTTATCAAATGTATAGGCCAGCTGATGCCATTGTGACTCTGGGCACCATACAATATTAAACAATTCATGGAAAAACAATATAAAGCAAAACTAAAATTCAGAGAATATTAACAAACCACTTCTCAGACAAATTATTCAAAATAAAGGGATTTTATTAAAAATAATACAACATATTTAAATTAAAATCTGCTTATTATGTTTGCCTTCATTTAGGATCATTATATGCAGATGTGATGTTGGGAAAAGTGATCTGATTTACGTAGGAATAAGGACCTGTATATTAGCAGATGGAAAACAAGCAATGGCAGAAATATTTTGAACAGAATGCCTTTGCTATGACACTCAGCTCCTTTATTATCTATATAAATTCAAAATGTATCACTAATATGCTGACCATTTTGGTGAATGTTGATAAGGAAATGCTTAATCCTTCTCCTTTTTCTGTGCTACTATATAACATTGAATTTAAAAACCCAAAACAAGACACAATTTTTTTCTATTAAAACTTGGATAGAAAATCACTGATAACACTGAGAGGAAAATAGTCATAGCTGAGGGACCCCAATACAAGGCAGAACCAAAGATGATGATAAATCACAAAACATTACAGTAACACGTCACAGAGAATTTGAAACACTGCAGTGGAACCTAAAATCTGTATCTTGTAATGTGTGGAGAAGTAGTCCTCCACTTATGACTTCAATTGAGCCCAACATTTCCATTGCTATGCAAAGCAGTTGTCAATTGAATCTCCTCCCCTATTTTACAACCTTTTTGCCACCGTTGTTAAGTGAATCACTGCAGCTGTAAAGTGAATCACACTGTTGTTAATGGCTTCCCTCCATTGACTTTGCTTGTCAGAAGCCAGCTGGGAAGGTTAAAAATGGTGATCACAAGACTCTGGAACAGCACAAGTGTCATAAACACATGCCAGTTGCAAAGTGCCAGAATTTTGATCATATGACCATGGGGATGCTGCGAGATTGTAAGTGTAAAAAATGGTCATAAGTAACTTTTTTCAGAGCAGTTATTACTTTGGTCACTAAACAAATGGTTATAAGTCGAGGACTACCTGTATTACAAAAAGCTTACAACAAAAATTCAGACGCTGAATTAAAAAGTTGACAAAAAGTAATACATTCTAATAATGTATAATTTCCCATTTTTGTCTGTTTATCATTTATTATTTCGATGGATTAACTAGGACAAGAGATTATGACTTGAATCTTCCAGTAACTTGGTTCAAAACATAAGGTTTTTCAGTCCTCTTTTCCTTAATAGCCTTCCACATCTTCCCAAATATCTCTGTAAGTTGGGTCCTTCCCTGAATTATCTTAGACATTATACTGCAGATGTCATACTGGAGAAGAGAAAAATTACTCAGATTTGATTTTAAACACTAATTTCCATTATGGGATTACACTCAATGAGCAGGGGAAAGCACATTTAAAATGTCAGTGCACTGCAGCTGTCAGCCACAACAAAACAAAA